CATTCCCTTAATAGGAATTAAAGGATTCCTATTTTGATGATGTTCTCTTTTGATGGAGGTAGAAATTTCAGGCTATATTTACATACTTTAAAAATATGTAAATAGTCTTGGGAACTATAAATATTCTTGAATATCATATGAGTTTAACAAAATATTTATTGATGTCACTAAAAGTAGTAGACACTTCAGTGACATTTCCTGTACTGCTACCATTCTTTTCTAAGATGCTTCAACTTATATATAGCTTCTAAAAAAGGAAGCCTACGTATTACATAACTCTACCCTTCCCATGCACATCAATCTTAACTAATTATAACACGGGTAGACACCTAACCTGAGGCTAAACCATTCACATTCTCCCTTAATAGGTAACGACTTATAGTCAGATGATGAAAGATACTTACATTGAAAGCACATTTGAAGTTAAGAATGAATGCTATACTAAGCTATGTTCTGATGACTAAGAAAGTGAAGCTAGTCTGGGGGAGAAGTAAAAATATTGAGTTCATACACAGAGAGAAGCAAAAATAGGAGGCTATGAAGTTGCTCTAAGAGTTAAAGGGCCTGGCCGGGCGTGGCTCAGCAGCTGAGCGTCGGCCTAGGACCCAGGCGATCAGGGTTTGATTCCCAGTCAGGGCACATGCCTGGGTTGCGGGCTGCAGCCAATCAATAACTCTCATCATTGATGTTTCTATATATCTCTCTCCATCTCCTTTCCTCTTTCTGAAATCAATAAAGATATATTAAAAAAAAAAAAAAAAAGAGTTACAGAGAGTAGTCTTGGTTACTGACTCACCTCTCCCATTTCCAGGCTGCCTGAAGTCTAACTGTATTTCATTTCCTGTCTTTGGATGCTTATGAAACTTCTGCTGTATTCTCATGATAATTAAGTTACCTTTAATATTCTTATGAGTTCTCAAGCAAACATAAAATGCTCACAGAATATAAATAGTGATTTTCCAGGGCCACTCTATGCCATGCTGAAACAAAACAGAGTGAAGGACACCATTTTAACAAACACACACACACACCCCTAAGCATTTTCTCTTCTAATTAACTTGAGTGGTTACTGTTTCTTTATTACTAATTACAACTCTAGGCCCACCGTAGTTCTTAGGTCCCCTAAATAAAAACTACCAAGATCTAACCCACCTCCTGACAGTCCGCAAACAATCTACAACAGGCCCCACTTACTTAAATACAAACTTTAAAATAAACTCAACTTCTTCTTTAAAAGAAGCTCCACAGTACCTCTGAAGTGCATTCTCCATTGCTGCAGCAAGACAAATATAACAATTTTGGACCAAAGGTTGCTTTATCATCATGGGCTGATGGGTTTGATAGTTTCATACATATTTACTCTAACTTTTTTGTATTAGTTTGCAAACTGAAAACCTAGAATTTTCTTAAAGAAAATTCACTAAGCTCCAAATAACTACTGTTTTCAAAAATTCTTACTTATTGCCAAGAGAAACATATACACATCAAAAGCTATGTAAAAATAGCTACTGTTAATGAGTGTCCTTACAAGATGTTAACTAAATTGATTACTCTAGAATCATTCAGGAATAAATTTAACACAAGTTGACTAATAAAAGTCACAAACTTAAAAACTTAAGGAATATTATCTTTCTTAGTTTGCATTTTAAAGTACATAACAATATAAACTACCAAAGATCAATTATCCTATAAGAAAAAATTTAAATGAATACATGTGTGAGTTAAGAAAAAATGAATATAAAATAAGACATAAAATGCAATTCAAATATATTTTATGATTACTTAAGAGTACTCGCCTTTTCTTTTTGTAAGACATTAAAATATCTTTAGTTACCTAAATCCAGCTTTGTTCCTAACATATACAGATATATGATAAAAGTCAAAAGCAATGAGATTTATTCATCATTAGCACTATTTTTTAAACAGAACTATTCCATAGCTTGGGTAAAGCTATTTTTATAATTAAATCTCCTGAGTTCTTCACAACAGTTTGAGTTTTTCTTCTCAGAGGAGAGGAACAGTGTATCAAATTAGAGGAAAAAGGAAAATGGAACTGAGGGAAAAAGAAAGAATGATCAAGAGTACATGTTTAAGAATGAGAACATGAAAGGACATGTGTTTCCATAGGTTGGGGTGAAGGGCAAGAATGAACCTTGGATGAGTATAGCAGCTAACTCATGGGTGTTCATGACCAACATTGGGAATTCTGATGACAAAACACACAGTTTTACCTCTCTTCTTATTTTCAAAACTTACCTTTACCAAAAATTATTAGCGAAAAAAATAATGTTCTATTCAAGTACAAGAAAAAAACTACTGAAGATTATGTACCATAATACGTTAGGCAGTGTTAATATAAACAATAAGGTTCTTTCTGTTTACAAGTGAAAAATAATTTTATTACTATTGCATAAATAAAATGGCACAGGACCACACAAAGAAGGCATTAATTTGGCATAAGAAACCAGAAGCATGACTCAAAAGATGAGAATAATTTGGGGGATAGAAAAAAGGAGAAAGATCCAATGAAGAAGGAAGAGCTGTACAAAAACAAGGAAATGTGATAATGTATAACTTGTTTGAATGTTTAAGGAATATTTTCTACAGCAAGAGGATGGAGATGAGTTGAATCTGAAAAAGATGGTTATGACTAAATTGTGAGGGATACCAAACATTGTTCTGTTACATAGCAGAGGTTTCTAGATTTTTGGATTGTATAAACGGGCAGCAATTTGAAGGACCATATTTTAAGGTTCTCAATTTTATATTTTGCTAAGTAATGGTATTTAAAAAACAGAACTCAGAACTTAAGATCTATCATTTAATATAATTTTATTAAGAGAAAGCATTTAAAAAAAAGAATACAAATATTACATTTACATAATCTTAAAAATAGGGTATATACCTTATATATTAAAATTAGGTTGCATCTTTGGATGCAGAAAAGTTACAAAATAAAATTGTATTTTGCCTGATGAACACAAAATGAACTTTCAATGTTTCATTTTTAGCACAGTCACTTTTTTAAAAATTCAAGTTGCATACTCTTAATGCTCTTTTCAATTCAATTCAGAATATCTGAGGTAAACTCAGAGAAGCCCAAGAACAAGTATTTTCCATTACCCAGCCATTTCTCCTATCTTCTCTCTGAAGTGCTGGGAAGAATATAAGAATCAGTCCAGATGTCTGGCCAAGGAAAATTCTGGAAACCCATATATGTGAGGTCCTGACTAACAGACAGAGCAGTTAAAAAGTTACCTGACAGCAGTTCCTTACATTTTAAAGTGTCATTAACTATCATTTAGGAACCAGTAATGTGAGTCTTATAGCTTAAAATAAATCTTTCTTTGCTTTGGCTGCTCAGAAACTTGGGGCTGATTTGGACCCATTACTGGCATTGCTACATTACTAAATGTGTTCCCTGCTTATTTTAGAATGTTCTTGATAATTATAAATTTCTACTATAAATTTGTCAAGTCATTTTAGGAAAAGATACACATAAACATAGAAAAATAAAAGATTTTTAGGGAATAAAGAAACATGTAAGATTTATGTTTTCAATAATGCTTATAAAACTTATTTCTTATTGTAAAAGTAACACATTACAGGGTCACTGCTCTGACTATTCTCTCTGCCTAGAGCACTCTTCTAGTAAGCTGTATGGCTCACCTCCTTTAAATCTTTGCTCAAATGTAACTTTTACTATTGGCCTATTTAAAAATCAATCACCCTTTTTAAAACTGCAATATAACCCTGCCATTTCTATAATCCCAGTCAGTAGTGTGGTACTTATCCTTTTACATACCATTTACCAACTTTCAACATTCGACATGATTTAAATATTTATGCTTAATGCTTATTTATTGCCTCTCCTTGCTAGATTATAAGATCCAAAAGGCAGGGATATTTGTCTGTTAGTTACTAATATATTCCAAGTACCTACAATAGCACTTAACCTAGAGCAAAAACTCAATATGTTTTATAAAAAATGAACAGCCCACCATGTGTTCTAAAAGCTTTACATTCATTATATAATTGAATCTTCACAAGAGTCCCATGAGGGAGGTGCTATCACTGATTACATTTTATAGAAAGGAACTAAGCTACAAAATGGCCAACTTAGTCTCAAAAGGTCATAGCGTTAAGAAAGTGGTGGAATAAGGATTTAAACTTAGTCCAGTTAGTAAATATTTCTGTCCCCCTAAAGGAAACAGATTGTGCAAAAGCAGTTGAGACAATGATAGAACAGGCAGAAGAAACCTGTAGTAAACAGGAAGTGAAAAGCAAACAAATACATAAGAGCTTCTAACCCCAACAAATGGCACTTAAAGCCATTATTCACTTACAGGATCATCTGAATATTGATTACACTTTTCTGAATTTCATGAATATTTATAAAACAAAACTTTTTAAAATAAGTAAGGCTTCAGATAACATTTTTTCAAAGCTACTCTCCTATTACAAGTGTATAACTTAAATCTTCCCAAGAGTTATTTACCTTCTTTGCCCTCTTACTCCATTTAAGCTGCTATTGAGTAAAAGACAACAGCTTCGATTCCCAGTTAAGTATTTCTTTACATTTTCTCAGTTAAAGATTCTCATATAACAAGTGTTATATGAATCAAATAAAGTCACTTAAAGAAGCCCGGCTCTTTGAAGGACGTTTTAGAGATCCTTGCTTAGTAAATACAGCATCCTAATGAAGGATATACAGCAGCCCTGATAGATTAGGACCATAAGAGCCAGAATGTCCCATTCCAACACCTTTTCAAAGTTCTCCATTCTGTTATTAGCTGTGCAATAACACTGACTGTGCAAACATGTTATTTTAAAAAAATGAACAAGGAGAAAGCATATATGAATATCTTATTAGCATTCATGGATGCAATGTCTTTATATTCTTTTGGCAATAAATATTCCTCCAGAAGTACAAATTATTCCATGATTAATAGAAACATTATAGGAAACTAAAATAATTAGAATAGAGAGAGAAATCATACCTTCTATCAATAGTTCTTGTCCATGACTGCCAAGAAGTGTACGAGATAGGAATGGGGCAAAGTCTACAAAAATTTCACGAAGAAGAGGAGCAACTTTTTCTAAAGCTCTTTCAAGTTTTGCAGTGATGCTGTTGAAATTAAGACATAAAGACTAGTAAATATAATTCAAAATAAGAAGTGAAATAAACTTTACTTCTAAATTAAAATCTTTGAAAATAATAAAAGTCCAATTCTAACACACTGAATAATAGTAACACTTCATGTAGAAGGGACATGGTATAAATTCACATCAGTCGTAAGGCTACTCAAAAGGTGACAGCTAAATTAGAATGATTATATGGTAAAAAGGAATTGGGGTTCTGTAACCTACCAGGGCCACAGACTCCATACATAATTCTAAGAGTTTCAAGAAAAGAAGTTCTTGTATGTCTTCTTTATCTTTCTATCCCTCAAAGAAAACAGTTTTCGAACACTTACTACATGGATCACTGTGCCAATTACAAAGAATTAACTCTTGATCTCAAGAGTTCCCTGAAAATTTCCTCAAAAGCTAAACAAGCCCAGCTAGCACTGCTCTGGGGTTGAGCATCAACCTATGAATCAGGAGGTCACTGTTCAATTCCCAGTCAGGGCACATGCCTGGATTTCGGGCTCGATCCCTGGCAGGGGGAGTGTAGGAGGCAGCCGATCAATGACTCTCTCATCATGAATGTTTCTATCTTGGTATCCCTCTCCCTTCCTTGCTCTGAAATCAATAAAAACATATTTTGAAAAATCTTAATGTTGGGGGAAAAAAAGCTAAACAAATAAGGGAGTAACTGGAATTCAGTGTAATGCAATTGAATTGCTTTGCTAAAGTAGGCATGTTCCATTTCATAAGTCCACTTAGTTTTATTTACCAATCCCTGCATTATTATTTACAGTGGAACCTCACTTCTCAAGTTTAATTCATTCTAGAAGGCTGATCGAGAAGCAATGTGTTCAAAAGCCGAATCATTTTTTCCCATTAGAAATAATGTAAATTGAAATAATTCGTTCCAGACCCTCAAATGATTCCCTGTTTTAAACCTTTCTTATAAATAGGGCATATGTAATGTACTGTTTAATATATAAACAAACACTTCTTTTCTTAAATTTATTGAACCATCCCCTTCTAGCCTTAAAGGAATCACTTTCAGCACTCCTTCCAGGGTTGTCTTTCAGGAATTCAGCATGTAGCATCTTCACTTTTTCACTTATCACTTTCCTCCAAAATGCAGTCACTGGCTAACTGCTTTTAGTTTATCCAAATCAACAACAGTTTTTCTACCTCTTCAATTGCCTGTGATCATTGCTTCTTCCACCCTTAGCAACATTAGCACTCTTGATGGTCTCTTTTTGTTCTAAAATTGTGCTAATTGTCCATTTTGCCAGCAAGGAAAGCAAAAAAATACACAAAAATATTCAAGCACAGTTTCCTGAGATATTAACAATGGAGGTTTAGTGGTAAACTGACTCACTCGCACATTCTCTCCTTTGTGGCCTGAGAGATGCTTTTTGTCATGCTGATGTAGCAGCATGAAAGGACTGTCAGGCCAAGAACCAAACTTTGGTCCAAGAACCAAGACATCATTTTCCTAAACAACTTAGTCAAGAATCGAATTGTTGGAGATGGGAGACTCTCAAGAACTGAGGTTTAACTGTATATTGTTCACTATTAAATTTTAAGTTATGTAACCTTATATAAGCACTATTTGAAATTCTTAAAAACACCTTGAGTAGTATATGTAAAAGAAAAATCATGGGTAAAAAGTAATTATGCTCTGGCAAATAAAAAAGTGTTTTGAAGGAAGACTGCTTAGACTGGAATGCTGGTTCTATTATATGCTACCTACATGATCTTGGGACATTAGAGTTCCCATGCCTGAAAAATGAAGATGATCATAGTCATTACTCAGTGAGGATTAAATAAGCTAAAGGATGTCAAGTACATAAGAAAGTACCTGGACACAGTGAGAGAGCTCTTATAACTGATACTTTGATTAAAAAACACCTATATTTACTCTTACAAAATGTGACTCTGATATATTTTAAAAATTCAATTTAATAATATAATATTAGATGACCACTCCCTTTGTCCATACAGAAAACATGTACAGTAAGGAATTAACTACTGCTTCAAAATAATACAATTTTTGCCACAATGCTAAGAAACATTTCTGTTATGCATGAGGAAAACATAATGACAAAAGGTAGTAATGGAGTAATTTGCAACATATTACTAATATTTAAAACTAAAACCACTGCTTTTTTTAAGCAATTCAATGATTAAATAGGGATTAGGAAATAATCTAGGATGCCTTCTTTCCTATTTTGAAAACAGCATGATCTGAATCCTTTGTGTACACAAAGCCTTACCATTAACACTTCTATTTGATTTTTGTCTCCTCTTATCTGAGTGGACAATCTTCGAGAAAGGAGAACTCAGAGAGGAAACTCATATTTAAGTACTTGCACAAACACTTAAAGACAATATTCTGAAGGAACAGCTTTAGGCAGGAAAAAAAGTTTGGGTGGGTCTTCGCAGACTTGCCGAAGCTAAAGTTTTCAGTATTCTTCCCTATTCTGTTATTCCTGAAACAAGCACCTATTTTAAGATGATGATTCGAAGACTTTAGTGTAGATCACAATCACCTGTAAGGCTTGTTTAAACACAGACTCCTAGAACCCCACCCCCAGAGTCCCTGATTCAGCTGGTCTGGGTATACTGTGAGAATTTGCACTTGTAACAATTCTCAGGTGGTCTAATACTGCTAATCTAGAAAACACATTTTGAGAATAACTGTTTTAATGAAAGTATTTACTACTAGTAAGTTGTAATAAAACAGCAAAGGAAAGTCTGCCTAAAGTCATAGAATAATCATGTTATTTCTAACTTTTAGTGAATATAGACATAAGTTCTTTTTTTTTTTGTATCTACTACTTCATTCATTCCTTTTAACTCTCCAGGACCATTTCCTATGATTCTTCCGAACTAAAGTGATCCCCTCTACTGAGGAAATGTAAGTAAGAATGGTAAGCATGAACCTATGAAGGGAGAAAAATCTAGATGGAATGATTCTTGTTTGTTTTTGTAGCTGAATTCTGAGTGAAGCATGAATATTTATTTCTATTTAAGATTAATTAATGAGACTAAAATTACTTTTGAAAAATTCTAGATTTATACAGTTTCACATCATAGTTATCCTATTGGGTTATACCATACTATTATACAATTAAATCCAGGAACATATTTTCCCTAGTTTAAAACTTTCCCCCCACATTTTACAGGTTTATGTATGATTTAGAGACTTCACAATTGCAAAAATACTGTTTTTGGTGATTAAGTTAAATATCAAATGGAAACTAATCAAAGCAATTAAGTGCATGTGTATTTAAATAGCATGTATTATTTACCTTGACTTAAGTATATGAATAAAAACAGACATCTCTCAGAGACTGAATCCCTATAATAAGATTTTTCACAACTATTTTTTTATAAAATTTAATAGAATATTAAATGATGTTTATACACATCATCCTGCAACCATAATTTTAATTTTCTAGTAGGGGACAAACAATGTAACATTTTACCCACCAACAGATCAAAGTTTTATCAAATAATACAACCAGATTTCTCTATCAAACAATAACAAAAATCTATGTGTAGAAATCCCATCGTCACCTTTTCACAGTGAAGAAAAAAGATAGGTGTTCTTTTGTTGTTGTTAATATTTATAGATTCCTCACAATGTACTTTAAAGGAAAGTAAACACTGTATGTGATCTTCTTACTTACATAATTTAAATTCTCAAAGGAAATGGTATAAACATAAATCTCAGCTTTATACCAACCTCTATTACCTAGCAAATAACTCCCAATTATTTAAAAAAAGACATTGTGCGTGTAGTGTTATTTCAATTCTCATCTGAAACACAATAAAAACTCCTTTTTCCCAATTGCAAGGCACATATTAAAAATGAATCTGTTAACATGTAAAAAAAAGTAAAAATAAGAATTGAACAAGGGAATACATCTTGGTCTTGTTTCCTATACATTTTTAGTATAATTTTTACTTTAAAATAGAAATAACACTTAATTGCCAGAAAAAAACAAGGTTCCATGAAAAATTATTTTATAAGAAAAATTAGCACAGTTTAGGAAAAATAAACTTTTCAGTTTTATTTGAAAGTTTATTTTTATTTATTCAATAAAATATTCATTCAGTTTCAGGCATTTTATGCGCAGAGATAATACAAGGGTGCACTAGATGGGAAATTAGCCCTATAAAGTCTTGAGTGAGGTTTATAATCTTAACACTTTAATAAGTTCTTAATATCTGGGAAAGTTCTTGGGCCCTAAATATAGAATTTGTCAACTCTAGAGTGAAATGCATTCTCTCAAGCTATCCACTTCTTTCTCCCACTCTATACTTTTTCATTCCCCTCAGTCACACCAATGATGCTTTTGATATTATTTTGACTTTGGCTATTTTTCTTGATAGTAAGAGTAAATTCTTTTAAGAAAGAGATTACTGATTTCCATGAAGAAAATTACCATTATGACATGAGAAATTTATCAAGTACTCTAACAAATTTACCAACTAAAGATAAACAAAACATTCAAAGAAAATGATAATGTTTTAAATGAAATTCTATAGATCCGATGCTTAGATTAAAACAATATGACTTAAAACATAACAGTTTATTATTATGGTTTGAAAAGCACAATTATGCATTGGTCTTTACCTGTATTAAGAAAATCTCATTTACAGAGATTTATAGATTTTAAGAAATTTGACTAAATAGCTAATTAACCTGTGGGAGAAAAACTGTTATGAAAACCCATAGTTGCAATGATTATCAAATCTTACCAAGTGTAACTGACCTGGAGACATATCCAAGGCCAAGGTGATTATAAATACATGAATCAGCAGAAAAAAGTAAGATTTATGTTTCTTGTTTTCTAAAGTCTGATTTCACAATAATGTTGATTATTTTCAAATATGTTTTATAATTCTAGAAAAAAATAATAGTTCTTCTTTTATTTAGGACATTGATTACATTGTGAATTGTATTTTAATAAACAGCCTTATGTTTTTACCACTTCA